GTTCCTGGCCTCTTCTGCTTTGCTCTTGCAGTGCCAGGAACACCAGCCCTCCCCTCTTCTCCCTTGGATAAGATAAACTCTTACTGGTTTTCCGAGCTTAGCTGATATGTGAATGAAGCTTGGCTCTTAGGCCCTTTCCCCAGGAAGCCCTCCTGGCATCCCCCACCTGTGCCCCCCACCCTTCCCCACCTGCGCCCCCCACCTGTGCCCCCCACCCTCCCCCACCTGCATCCCCCACCCTCCCCCACCTGCATCCCCATCCTCCACCACCTGCATCCCCCACCATCCCCTGGCTGCATCCCCATCCTCCCCCACCTGCATCCCCACCCTCCCCCACCTGCATCCCCATCCTCCCCCACCTGCATCCCACCATCCCCTGGCTGCAGTAACTCCTGGGGTTCCCTTCCCTGAAGCTCGCTGTCCTCTCCTGACTTGTGTGGCCTGGGTCCTCTCCTGGGGTGTGAGACCCCAGAGGAGTCTCTGCCCCCACTCTGGGAAACACAGAAAGGCTTCCTCTGCTTCATTTGCCAAAAGATTGAATGAACCCAGTGACTGGCCACCCCCTGGACGCCGCTGTGTTCTGATTGGGCCTCGGGGTCATGTGCCCAGCTGGGGTTTCGCCCTTGGCTGTGGCACCCACTGGCGATGCCTTTCAGGGAGTTACTCTTGTTGAGCTTCGGGTCTTCACCTGTGAAGTGCGGGAACCGTGGACCTCACCACCCCGCCGCAAAAGCCACTCGCAAACCCAGCTCCTGAGCCCAGCCGGTTTCTTCATTCTAGAAATGTCAATCAAAGGCTGGGTGTGGCTGGCCCGCAGTAGGCATGCATTCAGTGTTTGTTGAAGGTACACACACAAAAGGGGTTTGTTTTCATTTCTGTGTCATCTGTTATCTTTTTCTTCTTCCTTCGTTTTAAAAAGTTCTTGGGTAAGAGAGTCAGCTGGGTGAGCACGCACAGGCGCCTGAGGTCGGGTCCTGCTCATTAAATGGGGAATTCTAGAGTCAGCCTCGCCTCTGGCCTAATTGCCACACAGCCCAGGAGTGGGCAGGCCAGAGGCTTGTTGGCAGGGGGCTCCCGTGGCCCTGCATGTGGGTGTCCTCAGCTCAGCTTCCTGGGCTTGGGTGCTCCCTAGGAACATGCTTCCCAGTTATGTAGGTCAGGCAGCCTGGCCTGAAATTGCAACAGCCACACATGAGGAATGTAACAGGGCAGGGACCGTCCCATCAGCCCTTCTGCTGGGGGCAGGGATCGGGAAGAGAAGATGGAAAAGAGGATTTGCTGAGTTCTTGCAGTGACTTCTGAGGACTCTGGTTGCTGGGGACCAGTGGAGGGGACAGTCTTAGGTAACAGGTGAGCCTGGGCGTGCTCAGCTGCAGGGTGGCAGCTGGCCAGCACCTCCAGGTCATACCCCAGGTGGGGCTGGAGACATGGGTGTCCTTATCTCTAGACTTGGCTCTGGCAAGTGTGTGCTGATGCAGGCTTGCGATGTGCTTGCCATTCATTCTGTCCCTCGCCTCTGGAGTCAGGCATTTCTGGGGCACCCACTCGCATCCTACCAGGACTTTGAGCGCCAGGCTGAAGCAAACAGAAGGCCCTGCCCCTCGGTGTGAACCGGGCTGCATGCCAGACTTCCTGCGTGTCCCTCAAGACCCAGCCCCCATGGCGATGCCTTGGTCTCTTGCACTGAGGGGCTATGACCCAGGAGGCCAGAATGTCCTCCTCATCCTGACATCCCTGGAGCCTAGCACAGCGCCCCGTAAGGACGTGCTTCTTGGCTCAGCAGTCTTTGTAAGTTGGTCCGTGCTGCTGTGTTTAGTGGTAGAGCCGACATTCTCATTTCTGGGTGGAATTCCACTGGGCAGGTGGAATGCGCCACTGGGTCCTGGGCGTGTATGAATTAGGTCAGTACACCACGATGTATGTATCTACTCTACCCCTGATGGGCCTTTGGGCCAATTCCACTTTGGAGCTCGTAGGAGTGGCGGTGCCCCAAAGGCTCCCGTGTGTGCCTTGGGATGTACACGTCTTCTCTGCAGGGTTTTAAGGAGGAGCGGTGCTGATGGTGCATGGGTAGTGTGTGTGTTGAGCAGATACTCCTGGATATCTGCTCCAAAGTGGTTGTGCCCGTTCCCACTCCCCTCAGCAGCATTTGAGGAATTCCAATTGCTCCATGTCTGTTTTGTTCGGTTGGGGGGGGGGTGTTTTGCAACACCAATGACTGATTCTTACAGATGCCAACTGGGTGCCCTAGAATTCATTTCAGTTCTGACCCCAACAACCTGGAGTTAGCACAGGGCCCACAGGTTAAGGGCTCAGCCTCTGCTTTAGACACTAATGATCACAAGTCCAAGGTTGCCGCCCACACTTCTGACGAAGTGGTTCTAAACTGGGGGTCCCGTGACCCTATCCTCAGGCTTGACAGTTCTCTCGGATGGCTCACAGAACAGGAGGCCCTTTGATTACCTTTCTTATTTATCATGAAAGCTATGACTCAGGAAGTCATGCACAAGGCAAGGACTAGGGGCCAGGGTGCCCAGCTCTCATGCCCTCTGAGGGTGCCACCCTCTCCACGCCTCCATGTGTTCCCCAACCTGGAAGCTCATCAAACCTCATTGTCAAAGAGTTTCTCTAGAATTTAATCTCCAGCACCCCCACCCCTTCCCAGAGACCAGGGGCTGGGGCCAGAAGTTCCAGTCCTCGAATGGCTTGGCCTTTCTGGTGACCAGCCCCAGCAGAGGCCAGCTACGGGCCCCACCCTAGGTCACCTCATTAGTATAAATTCACGTGTGATCAGAGGGGCTCGTTATGAAGAACAAAATACACTTCCGTCACTCAGCAAATTCCAAGGGTTGGAGCTCCGTGCCAGAAAAACTAAACCAAACACATTTCTTTTTATACCGTGGGAGGAGGATGTTGGATTAGAGGATGTTTGCCGGAATGGGGTGAGGCTCTCCAAGCACCTTTACCCAGCACACCTGGCCACTTGCTTCCAGATTCTCACTGCCCCCCTCCTTTCTTCTCACCTGTCTGTCCGCCTACCTAGCCACCTACCTGTCTGTCCACACACACGTACGTATTTGCACACATAATTTCTTCATAGCCTTGGAGCGCAGGTGGAGACGGACGTTGTGTCTCTTTACCCCACTTACTTTGTGCCTGTTTCCTGAGGACCAGGACATTCTCTCATAACCACAGTGCATTTATGGAAATAAAGAATTGTAGTGTGGATACAATACTGGCATTCAGCTCACAGCCCAGTTCAGCTTTACCAGCAGCCCCAGGGCTGCCCCATGTGGCACTGACTTCCCAGATCCATCCGCAATCCAGGCTCACATGATGTGATTCCTGGTCGTGGTGCCTCAGTGGCCTTCCAGTGGGAGCTGGTGGTGGACTTGTGTTGTCTTTTGTGCCCTGGGAAACTGGCTGGTTATTTTGTAGAATGTTTGTCCGTGCAGGTCTGGCTGGGCTTTCCTCGTGACCAGGCCCAGGTCGTGTATCATATGGAGAGGCATTGATGATTGATCATATCAGTTATCCAGATCAGACCCAGGTCATGCATCATATGGGGAGGCGTTGATGATTGATCACCATTCATGATCTTTGATCACTAGGATGAGATCTACCAGTTTCCTTCTCTGTAAAGTTATTTCCCTCTTGTAATTAATAAGCAACATTTAGAACAGTGTTTTGAGACTGTGTAACTATCTTGTTCCGCATCAAGTGTTTATGCACCTATTTGAGCACCTGCCCGTCATTTTCTAGCCCTGTCTTCCTTCCATATTGATTAGTTTGTATTCTTCTGTGAATAAAAAAGCTTTATCTTCTCCCCTTCCTCTCTCCTTCCTTCTGTTCCCTTCTCCTCCCTCCTGCCTGTTTTTCCTTCCTTCCTCTTTCCTTTATTCTTTTTTAAAAGAAAGACTCCGGTGGCTCAAGCCTGTAATCCCAGCACTTTGGGAGGCCGAGGCGGGTGGATCACAAGGTCAAGAGATCAAGACCATCCTGGTCAACATGGTGAAACCCCGTCTCTACTAAAAATACAAAAAATTAGCTGGGCACGGTGGCGTGTGCCTGTAATCCCAGCTACTCTGGAGGCTGAGGCAGGAGAATTGCCTGAACCCAGGAGGCGGAGCTTGCGGTGAGCCGAGATCGCGTCATTGCACTCCAGCCTGGGTAACAACAGCGAAACTCCGTCTCAAAAAAAAAAAAAAAAAGACTCAGGAATTTTAACTCTGTTTATTATTTTTTACTTTCTTATGTTTAAATAAAATTTTATTTAATAGACTGAAACCCAACACACCTGCTCCACTTGCTTCGAGGTTCTCACCACCCCTCCCTCCTTTCTTCTCACCTGTCTGTCCGGCTACATAGCCACCTACCCATCTGTCCACAGACGTATATATTTGCTCCTACTTTTTTCATATCATTGTTTTTGATGCTTAAATTGTCCCAGATGTGATCTGTGGGAGCCCCTCGGGCATCATTCGGCACTTCTGTACTTCCTGGCACAAGACATGTTCCAGGCTCATCTTTTGCATTCTTTGAACCAGCCCTGGAATCAACCTGTTCTCCAGGGATCATGGTGTTTAGGAACCAAGATCTGGATAGGAAAGTGCTCACTGCTCCTGTGCTGTCATGCTTTTCAGGCCCTCTGAGTGAAACCAACCTCTTCCTGACATGGGGCGGAAGAGGAAGGAGGGAGGGATGGTGTGCACAGGTAGAAATACAGAAACATTCACAGACATAGAAATAATGTATACAGATATATTATACACACACACTCACACATGTATTTGTAACATATTCATTATCCATTCATCCATCCATCTTCACAAGACCACAAGTTCACACTGATATCTCTAACACTCAGGGCGGTGTAACTCCCCTGCCCAGCAGTGAGCAGATTGGCTCCCATGATCTGTAACCTGTTTACCCATTACTGAACCCCAGAATATACCAAAGCCATTTTATAGACACCAATCCAGAATGCAGTGAAATGCAAACCCTGCTAACCAGTGCACTCTCTTGCTGTACATTTCTCTTTATTCTGTTGAGATAAATTTCACATACAGCTAAACACACACATCTTCACACACCTGCAGAATGCACACCCCAGTCAAGGGGCAGAATGGTCCCATGTGCTCCCTCCCAGTTACTTGTCAATGAGAGCAAATACTTTTCTGATTTTGTTCCCACCAAGGATTAATTTTGCCTGTTCTTGAACCTCATGTTGGTGGCGTGGAACAGGAGGGAAAGGATGTCCCCCATGTCTGCCTCTTCCACTTGCTGCAGAGATCCACACATGCTGTTCCCACAGCTGTAGGCTGTTCCTTCACCTTGCCGGGAGTGCCTCATGGTGTGGTTTTCTCACAATCTGTTTCTCCACTGTGGGCTGGCATGGGGTGGTTTCCAGTTTGGGGTTATCAGTTTGGGGTTATTCAAACATGGCTGCTCTGAACATCTTGGTGATGTCAGATGGTGTGTAGAACGTGCGTTTCTGTAGGGTGTGCACCTGTGGGGGAGGTGGGTGTGTGCTGACCAGATCCCCCAGGACTTCTCCAAAGTGGCCACGCCAGCTGCCATCACCCACCCGTGTTGCCGGTGCTGGTTGCTTGGTTGCTCCACATGGCTCTGATTTCACCCCTTCAGAAAATGCAGAGAATGGTATCACAGATTTTCATCCTCTACCCACAGTTTAACAAATGCTACCATTGGCTGTTTTTTTTTTTTGGTAAATCTCATTTATTTCAAAAAGCTACATGAAAGGTATTCACATTTTGTCCCCAAGTAAAGAGGAGCCTGGCCACAATGGAGTTAGGGAGGGTGGGAGGAGGCCACCTTGTGGGTGGGACCCTGACCTGGAGCCTGGGGCCAGGGAGGAGGGAGCAAAGAGGGGGGCTCTCTCCCCAAATAATTATTCTGGGGGAACAGAGCCTGCCTGTGGCTTGCTTCAAGGAGGGGTATCTTCCAGGGTGAATAAAGGAGACTTCGATGCCAACAGAGGGAGATCCAAGGCTTTGGTCCTTTCACCCCCATTTCACCACTGGTCCTTGTGGCCCTGCTGTGCAGGAGGGAAGGGGTTGCCCTGTGTGCACGGCACCATGTGCTCCCCTTTCTCTCTCTGAATGGGGAGGGGCCAGCTGACAGGGCTGCCTCCTTCTCCTGAAGCCCAGTGGGGCTTGCCCAACCTGCTCCAAAAACTGGGGCCCAGACAGTGTCACCCTACTGGTCCACCATCCCCTCTGCTTGGCCACAAGCTGCCACCACTTGCTCCCTGCCCACTCCCATGCTGCCTCTCCTCCCTGCTTCCCTTCCTATGTTTCCTGGGTGATGCTCCTGTCCCTTGCTGGGCCCACTTTCATTGCCCGGCCACATGGGGCCTGGAGGGTGGGAATTATGGGTCACTCATTTCACAAGCATTTTCTAAGCCCTGCTGTGAGCTGAGATGGGTAGGAACTGCTCAGTGGGGATGAAGAGTGGCTCTTAGGACTGGGGAGACAGACCGTGAATGAGTGAACGCGAAGTGACTGCTGAAATGGCAGGTGGAAGGGAGTTCCGTGGGGGAGAGAAGGGGAGGCGCGGGGGGGTTCCATAGAGTAAGAGACAGTGGGAAGAAGGGGAGGGGCTGAAGGGATTCCTCTTCTCCCAGCCCAGATAACCCTCCACCCCCTCCCCCAGCCCAGATCACCCTCCACTCCCCACTCCCCTAGCACAGATCACCCTCCACCCCCTCCCCCCACCCAGATCACCATCCACCCCCTCCCCCAGCCCAGGTCACCCTCCACCCCTTCCCTCTACCCAGATCACCCTCCATCCTCTCCCCCAGCCCAGGTCGCCCTCTACCCCCTCCCCCCACCCAGATCACCATCCACCCCCTCCCCAAGCCCAGGTCACCCTCTACCCCTTCCCACTACCCAGATCACCCTCCACCTCCTCCCCCAGTCCATGTTGCCATCCACCTCCTCCTTCAGGTCCCCTTCTCTCAAGCAGGAGCCCACTGGCTCCTGGAGGGAAGGAAAGGTGGTGCTTGAGGGAGGTAGCCTTCACAGGTGTGTTCTGTGGTGAGGAGGAAGGGGACCCCTCCTTCCTCCTGGGGCCTCTCCTGCTCCTCACTGACCTGCTGCCCCTACCTGGGACAGCCCCACCCCAGAGGTCAACCCTGAGGCCATGGTTTCATGATATCAGCAAAGCAGAGAGCAGCACCCCCCCACCCCACCCCACCCCCAGCCCAGGCCCAGCCCCAGCACGGGGCCCTTAGCAGGCACCCCAGAACTCCTATGAGCAGTGTGGAAGTTCCTCAGGCTGACGAAACAAGGTGCCACAGATGGGGCGGGGGTGTGTTCTGGGGGTGTCCGACGTCTGAAATCAGGGTGTCGGCAGGGCCGTGCTCCCTCCAAAGGTTGCTCGAGGCTCCTTCCTGCCTCCTCCCAGGTTCTGGCGGGGCCAGCAATCCGTGCCGGGCCGGGTTTGCAGTGGCACTGGCCTACTCTCTGCCTCTGTTGTGGCTTTCTTCTCTGTGTCTCTGTGTCCAAATGTCCTTCCTATGAGAATACCAGTCATCGGATTAGGGCCCACCTGAACTGAATATGATCTCAGCTCAACGAGTGACATCTGCAAAGACCCTGTGTCCACATTAGGTCACATCACAGGTACCAGGGGTTAGGACTTGAACATATCTTTTTTGGGGAGGAAGGGGCACCATTCAACCCTCAACTGATGGATTCTGGGCACTGGTGACCTTGACCCTAAACTCGACTGTGGTTCAGATCCAGCCTTGGCTGTGAGAAGCCTGGAGGGGCCCCTGAGGTGTGGAGCGTCTGGGGTTGGGGCGCGTACCTGGTGTTGGTGGGCTCCCCAGTCTGGATGCGGTCTGTAAAGCCCTCTGAGCACACGGCCAGGATAGCAGGACTGGAACCTCAGCTCCCTGGGCCACACAGGCCCGAGACGCAGGGAGCTCTGGGAGCCAGAACTCCAGTTCTTTAGACCCTACAACCTGGAAACTTGAGAGGCACTGAAACTTCCAGCCACAGTGGTCTCAACTCCAGGCACTTAGAAACCCTGTCATAAAGCTTAGCCTTGTCATAAGGCACGGAGACCCAGGCTCTGTGACATCAGGACCGGAGACCACAGAAGCTTAGGTGTGGAGACTCAGGACTTTGGGGCCTTGGGCCCACACCCCCAGAGTCAGAGACCTTCTTTCCGGGGTCCCAGCACCTTGGTGTTGGAGGCACAAGTACAGAGTGCTGAGCTGGCTGTCTCCCATGCGCCAATGCCTTGGGCAGCCTGGCTTCCTCCCTCCTGAGTCTGCCCGGCAGGTGGTTTCCCGCAGGGTCCTCCCCAGTTTGGGCAGGTGTGCCTGCCTCCACCTCCCCCACCCAGCTGCAGCTGCTGGCCCATCTGAATACAACAGACCCCACGCACCCACCTGCCCCGCAAAGCCCCTTGAGCAAGCGGGAGTGCCTCACCCACAGGTAAATGGGCTGTCTCATCCCCATGGGTGAAGGTTGAGGGCTCGTGAAGCGGGGAGAATCCCTCCTTCCCTATTAGAAGAGGGGAAATGAGCAGACCCTAAAAGCAGATGCTTGTGCCATGTTTATTTGGCTTTATGTTCATACACGTATCCAGCAATTATTCACGAAGAGCCTACTATGTGCTGAGTGCTAGTCTAGGTGCTGGGAATATTTGAGTTACCAAACAGAAACCCTGCACTCCTGGAACTTATATTCTAGTGGAGGAAGCAGAAAGTACACAACATATATACTGAGAGTTACCATACGGAGGAAAGGTGAGTGAGGGAGAGAAACTCTAGAGCTTGTAAGCGGACTGGGGACGCCTCTGTGATTCAACAGAACATTTGAGTGTAAGCTTGGAGGAGCTGTGAGAGTCACGTTGGTGTCCTGGTGTGCACCGAGCAGTGAGGCCAGCCCGTGCAAAGGTCCTGTGGCAGGTGGGTGCAGGAAGAACAGGGGCCAGGAGACTTGAGCCAAGTGATGGGGGCGGGAGCAGAAGGCGTCACAGTCAGAGGGACCATGCGGGTAGACTCTGGCTGTTCCTGCACGGGCAGTGGGGAGCCATGGCAGGGTTTTGGAGGGCTGCCGTGATCCCACGGTGCTTCTAGAAGGATCGAGCTGGGGCAAGGCTGGTGGCAGGGAGCATGCTGAGGAGGAGTCAGGGGCGCCTGTGGTGGTCTAGAGGAGAGGTGGCTCAGGTGGTGACGGTAGGTGACAGGCTGCAGATTTAGCATCTGCTTGAAGTTAGATCCAGTAAACAGGATTTGCTGATGGTTTGAATGTGGCATGTGTGAGAAAGAGAAGAGTCAGGGACACACCAAACGTTTGGCCTGGGCCACTCGGATGATGAGCCGGAGGAGGGACCCAGGCAGGCAGACCTGCTGGCCTGTGGTTGCAACACCAGGTGCCTGATCCAGAGCGGGGAGTGTAGGGAGGGTTCCAGGACTGGGCCATCACTGCGGGTGGCGAGAGGGAGGGGTCAGGGGAGGCCCAGGCTTGTGAGATGGGCCGGCTGTCCCTTCGTCCAGGAGGTCAGGACAGGCAGATGGGGATCTCAGGACTGACATGGTGAGGGTAAGGGCTGTGGGACATGCCTGCAGAGGTACCCTTGGGACAGACATTTGGGACTTGGCAATGAGGACAAGACCTGAGGAGAAAAGTATAGAAGTCACCGGCTCTGGCTGGTGTTTGAGGTTCTGAGGTTGGGGACATCTTGGGGGAAATCTGGGGGAGAGGAGCCAGGGATGACGGGGTAGAGCTGGGTCTGGAGGGGCTGCTGGATTCGCAGCCCAAGCCGTGGGAGGGGGTCCTTGGAGGAGCACAAGGCCTGCTGCCAGGGAGGGATTTGGGCGATGTGGAATCACAGGTGCCCTCTATGAGTGTGAGAAGGCCTGGGGCACAGCAGGGGGTCCCGTGGATGGAGAGGGACTGGGGAAGAAGTGTGAGTGCTGGACCCATTGGCCTCTGTTCAGGAGCAGAAGGCAGAACAGGGTGGAACCGAGGCCAGGACGGAGGCTGTAGGGTGGCCGGAGGAGGGAGGCAAGGGCCGAAACGTTTCTCTAAGCTGCATTGCTCAGGATGCTGTGGCCCTGGGCTGGTCACTAAGCCGTCAGGCTGACCTTTCCTCAGGGTCATAGTGGACCCAACCCTCCTGAGTTGCTGAGAGCTGGATACATCAGGAAACACAGGACCCCAGAGGGACCCAGGGACACCCAGCCGCTTCTCCTGGTCGGAGCTGTCATCCCTGGGCCACAGGCAGTGTCTCCACTGGCCCTGAGAACAGAGGGATGGGGGACAGGTGCCCACCTGCCCAGCCCCAACCTTGCACCTACAGTTCCTCAGGCCAGAGACAAATGCCTCGCAGCTGCTTTCTTTCCTTTTTCTTTTCTTTCTCTTTTCTGCCTTCTCTCCCTCCTCTATTCCTTTCATTTCTTCCCCCCTCCTTCCTTCCTCCCCATCTTCCCTTCCTTTCCCTTCCCTTTTGGTTGAGCTTAAAGCCAGTGAAAGAGCTCAGACTGGGGGTTGGGGGCATGGAGATAAAGGAAGGAGGTGGGGAGGGGAGAGGAGGGGAGGGGAGGGGAGAAAAGAACCTTATTCCTCAGCAGAGCTGAGCATCAGTAAGCCTCTGATATCACACAGTGAGTTGGAGGGACACAGGCCCTGGTCCCCACACCCCACCCACCCCAGGAACTGTGGGTGGCTTTCCACACCCCCCCATGGCACCTCGAAGTGGCATCTGCAGCATCAGGCTGGAGGTGGCTTCACTAGGGCTTAGGGCTTCAATACATGAATTTTCGGGGACTCAATTCTACCCATAGGGGTCATCACTGAGTATTTGTGAGTGTTGGGGGTACACGCTGGGGTGGGATAGGATGATTCCAATCAACTCAGATGCCTGGGACACTGCTGAGGGGCCACCCCTGCAGCTGGCCTTTCCCGAGCCCTCAGGAGGGACTGAGCTTGCTCCTCTGTCCCCAACGTGACCCTGAGCAGCCCTGCTGGGGTGCTGCGGGGGGTGGGATCCAGGCCTGGAGTCAGGGCATGAGCACAGGGGCCATGATTCCTTTGAGCCCCTGTTCCTGGCACATAAGGGGTGCACCCTAGCATGAGTGCCAGCTGTGCCAGGCATCACTTAGCAGCGGCCACCAGGAGCAATTCTTCGTGCAGTGTCATGGGGAAGCCCCAGGACGTGGAGATCAGGGTTCCCTCAGCTTCAGTTGGGCTGGCTCTGAGCCTGTCTCACCTCTTCATCCCCCGTGAGCTGAGATACATCTGGCGCTGGCCCTCCTGTCACAGAGGACCTCAGAGAAGCCATGTCACCTTTGCTGACAAGTACTTCTCTCAGCTATAGAAGCGGGTCCCAGAAGGACCTGGTGTGCTCAGTTGTGGGGGCCAGAAGCCCTAGATGAAGGTGTGGGCAGGGTTGATTCCTTCTGAGGCTGTGAAAGTGGCTGCATTTTCCTTGTAACTCCCTGGAAGGAGGTTACCGGGTAGCTGAGGGGAAGGGTGCTTAGTTAGGCCCAGGCGACTGAGAGGAGGTCACCCATCCTGGTGTCCCCTGCCTGGGGGAGCTGACTTCTGCCTTCGTGCCTTGCCCTGTGTGGATCGTACGAGTGCCTACTAGTTAAAAGTCAGAACACCCGGCTAAGTCCCTGGCATGTGGTAAACCCTCTATATAGTGTCCATTTTACAGATGGGAACACTGAGGCTTAGGGGGGTTCAGAGCCAGGGTCGACCTGAATTCAGACTTCTGATTGAGCCCGTATGTGCACGTGGATCATTTCAGATCCACAACTTAGATTTGGATTTTATTCCAGTTCTGGAAGGGTTCTGTTTTGCAGGGAGTGATAAACACACAACTCACAAATAAGTCCATCCATTCGTTGGGAATTTGGACCTCCAAACCTGGCTGCCAGAGCACGGAGTCCTCCAGGCTCAGGCTTGGGGCAGGACCCTGAGGAGGCTGCTGCTCCTGGAAGATGGAGCGTAGCATTTTGAAAGTGCAATTATGAAACGAGCTATGACACAGGGTGGAATAGGGTCTGTGCCTCCCAGGACGCTGGACGGAGGGGAGCGCTCTGCAGGTGTGTTTCAGGTTGTTGAGAGGGAAAGCCCTGCGGACACAGCAGAGCCGATTCTCCTCCCTCCGCCCCCCACGTGACCTCCAGGCGCAGGCTGCTGCGTTCCCTTCCCATCTGTGCCTGCTCGGTTTTGCCACGCGTGCCGCTGTGCCACCAGCTGTGAATGTGTGAGGGGCTGGCGCTGGGGGCCGGCGGAGGCTTGCTCTGTGCCAGGTTCGGTGTTAAGTCTAGGAAACGTGCCGCTGTAGATGGGCGGGAGTCCACTGTGAGAAGAGCCAGCACTGTGGCTGCGTCCGTTCTGAGGCACACTCATGTTTTGTGCCCCTCACTGTCCTGCTGCTCCAGGCCCTGTCTCCGGCAAGTCAGCAGGGTGTGGTGCCCGGAGGTGAAACTGCAGTGCAGCGCAAGGGGCATCTGCCGTGTGACCCAGCGTGGCCAAGTCCTGCTCAGAGCCCTGCGCCAGCCAGGCAGAGAGAAATGCCAGGCTCTAAGCTCCTGTAGTCCAAGGAAGGGTTTTGCCTGCCTGTCTTCCTCCCTTCCTTCCCTTCCCTCCCTCCCTCCTTCATTCCTTCTCTTCCCTGTCCCTCCTCTCCTTCCCTCCCTCTCCCCTTTCCTTCCTCTTTCCACATCTCCTTTCCTCTCTGTCCCCTCACTCCCTCCCTGTCTCCCTCCTTCCTCCCTCTCTTCCTTCCTCTGTCACTTTCTTCCTCTATCCTTTCCTTCTTTCCTTCCTCCATCCCTGCCTTCCTCCCTTCCTTCCTTTCTCTCTCCTCCCTTCTTTCTCTACCCCTTCCTCGCTTTTCCCTCTCTCCCTCCCCCTCCCTCTCTCTCTTTCCCTCTCTTCCCTCCCTCCCTCCCTCCCTTCCTTTGGTCTTTCTCTGTCTCCCTCCCTCCCTCCCTCTCTTCCTCCCTCCATCACTTCCTTCCTCTATCCTTTCCTTCTTTCCTTTCTCCATC